GTGAGTATACCCCAGCTATGGGTTAAATAGCAGAGCAGGTTGGGTTTTCTAGTCGATGTTGGCAAACAGTCTAAGAGAAAGACAACTCTGATTTCAAAACTCAGCCAGCTGAAGCTATTTAAAGATATTTAGACAGGGGATGCTACTACTAATTCTACAAAACAAAAACACGATAGATTTCAGCAACTATGTATAATCCCAGTGTAGAAAATGCAGAAAATAAGGTTTCAAAAAAATGGACGAGGTGTACTCGCTACTGAACTGTCATTGTTTTCATTACTATCTCTCCATCTGTTTTCCTTAATATGGAAATTGGTTGCTATTTGCTTGTATTCGAAATCGGGTAATAAAACTTCTAATATGTCAAGATGTCGACTTGCAATTTTATATTGCATACAAGTCAATATATTGAACTGATATCACTCGATATGTAACATGCTATTTCACATGCTTCATTCATTAAAAGTTAATCTAATGTGATTGCACTTAATGGATAAGCTAACAAGATATGAAATTAAACCTTTGTTTTGTATTCAAAACACTAGATATCTGAACAAGACGCGGATTTGTTGACTTTTTTAATTTTTTCTTATATCACATGCATCAACTTCTTCAAATTCAAGTTCCCGTCTCATTTGTATAAAGCTATTGGTGGGTTAGCCGGTTTCAACTTCTATTCTATTATCTTGCCTGGCTGCATTTGGACACAATTTTCCAAAACCATGTCGACATGTTTGTTTTAACTTCTTGTAAGGATGTAAAAATTTAAGTGAGACATCCTTGGAACGAACACTCAATGATATTTTAGGGTGAGTGGGTTTCTGTTACGTTGCTGCAATATTAATCTTCTATCGAGCAAGGCTTCATTTACAGAGGCAGTCTAAAACGAGATATTGATGTATCCCGTTAATTCGTACCGAATCCAGTTGACAAACATGGCTGCCAGTGTTGCTACCAAGATTTCAGTACCAGCCATCACCTGAGTGAATTCTGTCGTTTCTTTGTAGTTTTTATCAAAGGAAACCAAAAACATCCATCTTCATCTAATTCTATTCAACAAGATATATTGACAACTGAATGAATTCTGATTAGAGTGTTCTTCAATAATTTATGAAAGACGCTTGATGTTCGAAGATTTTAGACAAACCCAAACAGCTATCTTTGAACAAAGTTTGTATCAGTAAGAATTTTTCAATGCAACGCCTGTCCAGATTTTGTTATTAATAAATTTCGAATTTTTAAATAATCATCCTTTCCGATAAGTATCATCGTTTGGCAATTTCTTTCTGAATATCGTAAATAGTTTTATTTACCTTCTATGAGATTTACAAAAATGAATATACCCAAGACAGGTACTTATTGAGTAGGATGTGTGTTTACTGACTTGTACTGTGAATTGGAGATGTCGAAAACAGACAAGTATAAAAATTCATTTATTTGTTAATCATTTCACACCAAGCAAGACAGTAAAGCTACTAAGACAGATTAACGAGAGTGAAAGAATAAGAAAAAAGAGAAACATTATTAAGGAGCGAGGACGATAAAAGAAGAGAAATCAAGAAGACGGTAGATAACGATAGACATTGCATTTATTTTTTTGAAGATCAAAGTTGCCTGAAAATCAAGAACCTTCAGGAGAGTTCCACAGGGGATAAATGTTAGAAAATAAATTGTTAGCAAAGTACTTACGGTTACATTTTAACTGTAACTTGATCAGAACTTGCCGAAAATCTAGTACCGCGCTTAAATTATAGGTACCATAGCGAAATGTCCGTCAGAACAATTACCGTAAAAGCTGAGATGCCAGGTCAGGCTGGATAACGTTGCCGATTCTTCTTTGGTTGTTATCAAGAATCTCCAAATATATAGCAGGAACATCGGACCATATGTGGCAGCAATATTCACAGCATGGATGAATGATAGACATATATGTAAATATCTGAGAAGTGTTCTAAGAGAGGACGACACTTGTGCCACAGAAATTCAAAAGTGCATTGGAATAGCGAAAAGTGCTTTCCAATATTAATAAGCAGAAAATCTTCGTCAGAAACAAAGAAATGAGCACTAAACTGCTATATAATATCAGTCCACTTCTATGATATTTATTCTGTAATTTAACAGAAATGTGGCACAAGGCCGAAATAGGGGAATGGGGAGAGGACGGTCTTTTTCTGTCTTAATTATAACTTAGCTAGCCGCAAACACTGACCCAATCGTACGAATAATATTCCTTACACCAAAACAACACATTCATACGTACCTTTCAAACTACAAACACCATAATACCTCATCGTCTCTATGAAAAAACTAACTAATCCCCATATATACAATTAAGTCCACTTCTATGGCAACTTATCATTTTTTCATTATTATATAACTTTGTTATTCAATCAAAACATATTAAAAGAAATTCTTTCAAAATACAAAATAAGAAAAATATTGTAAAACTTGTTTTGTTAGAATTTATTTTTATAAAAACCCAACAGAAGTTGTCTTTTATAGCTTCGACTTTAAAACCTCAGTTTCTTGCCATTTTCTTATAATGATTTTGCATCCTGTGCCAAGATCATTACGTAGTAGACAGTTACAGAGTAAGAGGTACGGGGATATGTATGTAAGATAACGGTTAACCTTCGTCTTGAACAGGTTAATAATTAAATATGTTACGTTTTTATACATATCTAGGCTATTTTATTTAGAAATCTGTAAACAGGATACTTTCTGTAGATATCTATGCTTTTTTAATTAGTAATATGAAAATATGCTAAATTTTTATACACATTTATGATGGGGAGGGCAGGCTATAGGCAAGTCTATTCTGAATTCTAAACTGAGAATAATATAACGGGAAACCATGCTTTTCTCTTTCTTAAGAAATCATCGCAGTTCACAGATAATAGCAACAAGAAATACGCCTGAAAGGGGCTTAGCGTTAATCTATATCCTCCTAGCGTAAGTTTAAATTGACACCTATTTCCATGTACCACTATAAGGTGAACCAGTTTACCGTGGTACCCGGGTGGGTGATGAACCCCAAGATTCTGATCTCGTACTCTCAATATCACTTTCTTAAAAATTCCGCCCTATTTTACCAATTTCTGGGCCATCTTCTTCACGATAGACAGAACAAACAGCGATCATCAGATGGGTCCTAATTTGTTTTAATTATTTCACACCTTTTTCACACGTTTTACCTTGATTTTCATGATCAAACAGCCTAAATTTCTGCGAGATTTTTACACCTCGGCCGTTTTACACCTAATCCAATTCTATTGCTAATAATTACACATGATTACTTTATATTTCTATTTCGCGCGCGATCAAAGAGTTCCTATAATATCGGAGTAATTAACAGGAATTCAATCACTGCAATCAGATAATACGGATTGGGTATAAATATGAGTACTTTTCTCTGGTTGATAATGTTCAATTTGACTGTAGAACTCATGAATCTCTCATAAATACAAATATAAATAGCGCGTAGTAATTCGAGAGTCGCAATCGGGAATTGCAAGAGTAAGTACTTTTGAGGATGGTTAAAATTTATTGTATAAAAAAATCTACTGTAAAACACTGAAATAAGTTGAAATTTCGGGTAATTTACTTTTTACGCCCCACGATAAGCATCTAATAAAATTTTCCTGAATAGTTATATTTACGTGCTTAATTCGAAAATAACAAAGAAGTTTTGATAAAATCTAAATTTTTGAAGTTATCGACAATAAAAGTTTGGACTCGTTCATGTCGCGGCAGCCATTATTGACGTTGTTTGCATATATTTGCTGTGGATTAATTTGCCTAGATTATTGCGCACACACTAATGCAAAATACCAATAATTGTTGCCGTGCCGTAACCGACAACGACACGAATGAGTCCGAACTTTTATTGTCGATAACTCCAAAACGGTAGATTTTATAAAAATTTCTTTGTTATTTTCAAATTAGGCATGTAAATTTAGAATAAAAAATAACTGTTCGTGAAATTTTTATTAGATACTTAGCACGGGGCTTAAAAAGCAAATTACCCGACATTTCTTATGAAATCATTGGCATGAATTAGTATAATTTTTCGAGGTTCTTTTCGAGCGATTATATACGATATATATCGCGATATAGGGCAAATAGGGCCCAAAAATCAGGTAGGTGTTCAACGTCCTATTGTCGCCCACACCATCCACAGCTACATCGATTGACTTGCAGAGTGGGTCGGCCATCTTCGACCTCAAGGCCCGCGATATAACGGTGGACTACTGTATTTAAACTATGAATATAAACTATAATTTTGAAAAGAGCATCTTTCACTCACACATACACACTCACGTGTGTGTGTGTGTGTGTGTGTGTGTGTGTGTGTGTGTGTGTGTGTGTGTGTGTGTGTGTGTGTGTGTGTTAATCTGTATCGCTCCATGCAAGGCAGTAAAGCCACTAAAACACAAGGAGGTAGAGGGTGTGAAAGAATTAAGAAGAGAGACATAATAATGGGCAGAAAGACAAGAAAGTTCAGTAGAGAGCGCTTGACATTGCATTTACGGATTAAATTTGTCTGGAAAGCATGGATCCGGAAGGAAGTTCCACAAGCGAGAAGTCCGAGAAAAGAAACTGCTGAGATCTCGATGTCAGTCTAGTACTGCACTTAAATTCAAAAAGCGTTTTAGTGGCGTTATTGCCTTGGTGTAAAAGTATTATGAAAAAAAACTAATTATATTCATTGGTAGAAATTCTTCTAGAACAATCTACTTATTTATGATATATCTATTATTATTGTCGTACTGTTGAACAATCAAGAATATATCCTTTTATGTGAGGCTAATTCTCAAAGGCTAACCTTTCTTAAAAGGTTATACCGAGTGGATCTCACGATGGAGTTCCTATCCTTAATCAATTGAAGAATGCAAAAAGTTTAATTTCAATCTTTTCTTTCATAAATATAAGAAAGAAGGCGTTTTGAAATAAAGGAATTTACTTGCGTTTAGCATAAATCGGAGTAGAAACAAAAACAA